TGGGCGGGGCAATTTCAGCGTCACGCATGGCATGTCTGAATTTCCAAGTAGGGCGAGCCGGGCTTTTCCACCGAATGGCGCATGCATGTCGAGCTTAGATCCCCTTCGGGGACGATGGCGGTTCTTCGCGAAGGGTCGCGAGGGCTTCGGGTTAGCCGCGCTGGCGGGGGATGTGCGCGCGTTTCTCATGTACGTTCGTTTTTTTTTTTTTTTTTTTTTTTTTTTTTTTTTTTTTTTTTTTTTTTTTTTTTTTTTTTTTTTTTTTTTTTTTTTTTTTCCGAAGTGGGCTTCTCATGGCGACGTGTCCACCACCATGTCAGAATTGGGATTGCGTCGCGAGGGGTTCACTCAGTGGTTCCCCATGGCGAAGCCCGATGGGGGATCTCGGGCGGCGCTTCTCTGCGGATTTCAACGTACCTCGTGCGAGATGTGTCTAGGGCGGCCTTTGTGGTTCTGTATGGTGGTGGCGCGCGCGGGTGACTGGGCGCGGGGGGAGGGGGGGGGAGGGGGGTCGAGGCTCGCCCGCAGCGAGCTCTCCACGTGCGTGCGCCGCGCGGATGGGCTGTGACCCGCAGCCTAAGGGGAACGACCATCTGAGTTTAGGGGTGAGTTTCGCACGCGGGTGCGGCCCACCAGAATGATTCCCCTAGTTTGGTCCGCGATGGCTCGCGGGCTCGCCTCTGCATGGCCTGGGGCGGCAGCATCACATTTGCTTATGACGTGCGTGGCGCGACGGCCCGACGCGCGCATCCTTCCAGCGGGCTCCGCGCGGGCGGGACGTGCCCCGCGCCGCGTGCAAGCGCGGGGCAGTTGGCGAGTATGGTTTTGGAACTGCATGGCGACGTGCACCGCAGCTTCTCTTCAGTCGTGGATATTGGCGGCGGTTGAGGTATAGGGGAGTAATGGTCACTTCTGCGCGATTTCAAAGCTGCATCGGCGCGCTGTGCGACGAGCGCGAGGTGCGCCCTGTGCGCCAGCGGGGGTTCGGGCGCCGTCGAGCCCAGCCCGATGCGCGCCATCTTTACGCGGGCACGCGCGGGGCGAGAGCACTTGAAGGGCGCGGGCGGCTGGCGCGCTTGGGGCTTGGGTTTGAGGTTCGACGGCCTGGGGCCTGCAGCTTCAGCTCGCTGCGCGCGGGCGTCTGGCGCGCGGCGCATTCCTCGGGCGCGCGGCGACCGCCCGACGAGCGCGCCCGCGCGCGCGGGCCGCTGCACGCGCGGCGCACGCCGCGGCCGACGGCCACCCAGAACACCCGCATCGCAACTACGGCGCATTCGAAGGCTGCCAGAGCGATGGTCGAAACGAGTATACGTCGGCCGAGGGGTGGCCGAAACATACCCATCGCGAGTACGCGTCGACCGCAGGGCGGCCGAAACATACTCATCGCGAGTATGCGTCGGCCGCAGGGCGGCCGAAAAATACACATCGCGAGTATGCGTCGGGCTACGGCAGCCCGACACGTACTCGTCGCGACTATTTTTCAGTGACCACGTTTTCGGGGTATCATTTTTTGATTATTTTTTGAGTATGTCGAAAATGGAGTGAATTTCGACGTCGCGAAAAAGTATGAAATCATTATTTTTTCTTACCAAAATACTTGAAAATACTTCAAACATACTTCGCCACGCGAGCTCGAACATTGAAATACTTAAAAAATACTTCGCCACGCGAGCTCGAATATCGAAATACTTAAAAAATACTTCGCCACGCGAGCTCGAACACCAAAATACTTGAAAAATACTTCGCCACGCGAGCCCGAAAATCGAAATACTTAAAAAATACTTCGCCACGGGAGCTCGAACATCAAAATACCTGAAAAATACTTCGCCACGCGAGCTCGAACATCGAGATACTTCAAACATACTTCGCCGCGCGAGCTCGAATACCGAAATACTTACGCATGTTTTGTATTCAGCAGCTAGCGACGGCCTGCCGCGCGGGCGATCCACGCGATTTGTGCGCTCAGTTCGCAGCGCGCGAGGCGACCTAGCAACCTGGCGCACTCGCATGCTCAGAGGCCCGCCGATAGGGCGATGCACACTAATTATGAGTTCAGCTGCTCGCTTTTCGGACCATCCTGAATACGTTCGGGGCCTATTGGGTACTAGAGCACGGGGCTGACATGCGTCTGAATCTTCGCAATCTACAGGGGGGGGGGGCGTCCACCGTTTTTCTGGTTTCGGAATAATGCTGTATAAATTCTGTATGGTATCCCATGTGCCCTGCGAAGGGTACTGCCGCATCCAGGTCCGCGGCGATGCCCGCTGTTTACATTTGCGCACGCGCGTTGCGTTAAAATCTCACGCGCTGATATGCGGCGAGATGTGTGACGGGCGCGCGCAGCGCTCGTCTGCCATGGCGGGGCGCAGCGGCCTTCCCCGAGGTGGGCCGTTGCCGCTCGCGGGTCGATCGGCGGCGCGCCAGCGCGCGCGGGGCGTTTCCAATGGCCCATGGCCCATTGCCCATTGCCCATCGACCATCGCCCATCGCCCATCGCCCATCGCCAATCGCCAATCGCCAATCGCCCATTGCCCATTGCCCATTGCCCATTGCCCATTGCCCATTGCCCATTGCCCACCATTGCTTATGCCCATTCGCCCATCGCCCATCGCCATCGACCATTGCCCATCGCGCATGCCCTTGCCCATTGCCCCTTTGACCATTATGCCCATTGCCATGCCATTGCACATGGCCCATTTGCCATGCCCATTTGCCCAGTGCCCACTGCCCACTGACCCATTGCCCATTGCCCATTGCCCATGGCCATGGCCATGGCCCATGGCCCATCGGCCCATGGCCCATTGCCCATTGCCATTGACCATTGCCCATTGCCATGCCCATTTGCCCATTTGCCATTGCCATTGCCATATTTCGGCACGGCGCTTCGGATTGGGCCCATTGCATCGGCCCCGCGGGCACGTCCATCGCCATTGCGCACTGCCCACTGCCCATTGCGCATTGCCCATTGCACATTGCCCATTGCCCATTGCCCATTGCCCATTGCCCATTGCCCATTGCCCATTGCCCATTGCCCATTGCCCATTGCCCATTGCACGTTGCCCATTGCCCATTGCCCATTGCCCATTGCCCATTGCCCAGTGCCCAGTGCCCAGTGCCCAGTGCCCAGTGCCCAGAGCCCAGTGCCCAGTGCCCAGTGCCCAGTGCCCAGTGCCCAGTGCCCAGTGCCCAGTGCCCAGTGCCCAGTGCCCAGTGCCCAGTGCCCAGTGCCCAGTGCCCATAGCCCATGGCCCATGGCCCATGGCCCATGGCCCATGGCCCATGGCCCATGGCCCATGGCCCATGGCCCATTGCCCATCGCCCATCGCCCATCGCCCATCGCCCATGCCCATTGCCCATTGACCACTGCCAGCCCACTGCTATTGCCCATTGCCCATGCCATTGCCCATTGCCCATGCCCATTGCCATTGGCCATTGCCCATACCCATTCGCCATTGCCATGGACCTATGGCCATGGCCCACCCCATGGTCCCATGGCCCATGGCCATGGCCCATGGACCAATGGCCACGGCCCATTAGATCAGTGCCCATTGCCATTGACAACAGCCCCCTGCCCCATGCCCCCTTGCCCCCTGCCCCTGCCCATCTGCCCCACTGCCCACTCCATTGCACATTGCACTAGCCCATTGCCCATGCCCATTGCCAATTTGCCATTGCATTGGCCATTGCCCTATTGCATTGCGCATTGCCCATTGCCCCACGACGTTGCACATGAACTTCGGTCCTGACCCAATTTGCCCATTGCCATTCACATGCCACATTTGCACGTTGGCCCATTGCCCATTGCCCATTGCCCATTACCATTGCCCAGTGCCCAGTGCCAGTGCCCAGTGCCCAGTGCCCAGTGCCCATTGCCCAGTGCCCAGTGCCCAGTGCACGTGCCCAGTGCCCAGTGCCCAGTGCCCAGTGCCCAGTGCCCAGTGCCCAGTGTCAGTGCCCAGTGCCCAGTGCCCATTGCCCATTGCCCATTGCCCATTGCCCTTTGCACACTGCCCATTGCACACTCCCCATTGCCCATTGCCCATTGCCCATTAATTGCCCATTGCCCATTGCCCATTGCCCATGCCCATGGCCCATGGCTCATGGCCCATGGCCCATGGCCCATGGCCCATGGCCCATGGCCCATGGCCCATGGCCCATGGCCCATGGCCCTATTGCCCATTGCCCATTGCCCATTGCCCATCGCCCATCGCCCATTCCCATCGCCATTGCCCATTGCCTCATTGCCCATTGCCCATTGCCCATTGCCAATTGCCCATTGCCCATTGCCCATTGCCCATTGCCCATTGCCCATTGCCCATTGCCCATCGCCCATTGCCCATCGCCCATTGCCCATTGCCCATAGCCCATTGCCCATTGCCCGTTGCCCATTGCCCATTGCCCATTGCCCATTGCCCATTGCCCATTGCCCATTGCCCATTGCCCATTGCACATTGCCCATTGCCCATTGCCCATTGCCCATTGCCCATTGCCCATTAATTTGGGCCTGTGGTTTCCTGTAGTAAATTGGAATGAAGTGTCTGGCGGAAGCCGCTATTACGGTAGGCCCCAGAAGTTATGCGGGGGCGCCCTCCCCGCGGGCGCCAGAAGGCCCGCGGCGAGTGGGACTCGGGAGTGGGGGGGTGGGGGGAGGCGGAGTCGGGAGGAGGAGGAGGAGGAGGGAGGGTAGGCTTTTGCTTTACCGCAGCCGCGGGGCCCGTGGGTTCAGACCTGCCCGCCGTGGCTTTCCCTTATGAACGCGCCAACGTTCGAGCCGCCGCCAAATCTTATCCGTCGCCCCCGCGGTCCCGATGGCGCCGCTCCTCGTATGCAGCGCCCTCCTGTTGTGCAAATCACTGTTGATTTTTTCTCAGCAGCCTCCGCCGCCCTCGTGCCCGCACCCCAATGTGGCGCGGGGGCCGCGCCCGCCATCAGGTCCCCCGCCCAGAGCCCCAGGCGCGGCTCCCGACCCCGCAAATCCTCCGGCCACCGGAGCGACCGAGGCAGCCGCTGAGGCCGCAGATGGGCGCCCTGAGGCGGTGGACGAACCTATTGCAAAGCGCCCGCGCCTTGCAGGGGAGGAGCTCACTGTGGGTTTTGGGGGCCCGCCCAACCACGCTCCATCCCACGCCAGCAGCGGAGACAACAGCATGGAGTGGTACGAAGAGGTGCGGCCTTTCCACCTCGAGTGGGAGCGGTTGGCCTTGGAAACGCTCGCGATGTGTGAACGCGCGCGACGAGCTTGGCGCGAACTTGGCCAGGCAATGGCTGCCGCGGGCTACGAGGATGCCTGGAAGCAGAGCTCCCAGTATTACCGCGAGTACTGGCAATGGCACTTGGAACAGGCGGGGGCGGCCCTGCACCATGTAGCCCGTTAGCGGCCCGCGCGCCGAGCATGAGCCCATGAGCTCTGCTCGGCGCGTGTGCCTTCTCAAAAGTTAGCGCCTTCCACTTTGTGGAGCAGCGCATCGTCGACGAGTTCGGCGAAGTTTGGATCAACGCCCCCGTCCAGGGAGGCGGCGGCGAGCAGGGCCCCGCGGAGGGTAGCTAACGAGGACCCTCGAGCCCTGCGAATGGTGCCCACGGAGGGGGTGGACGGAGGAGGAGGAGGAGGGCGGAAGAGGAGAAGGAGGAGGAGAAGGGATAATGTTAACTTGGCTGCGGCATTCTCGACGCCCCGCGCACCCCCGCCAGCCCCCCCTGGAAGGGTGCTCAGCCGAGTTGCTTTCATCGGGGTAGGGTGTGAGAGTCATTGTAAGAGTACGCGTAGGAGTAAGAGTAGGAGTAGGAGTAGGAGTAGGAGTAAGAATAAGAGTAAGAGTAAGAGTAAGAGTAAGCAGCGTAGTATGCGTGATATTAAGAGTCGTAGCAGAGCATGAATAAGACTTAGATTTAGATGGTTTTCAGACACGCTGGAAGCATGTTGGAGCCATCATGCACGCATCTTGGGGCCATCCTGAAACGCGTTGTCGGCACTCTATCGGAGGCGCACTGGGGGGAAGCATTCGAACCTCCTTGGGCCCTTCGGGTCTTCTGGAGCCCTCGTGAGGCTATCTTAGAGGACCTTGCTCGGGCGGGGAGGGGGTCAGTTAGCTGTGTCCCCCATCCACGCACTGGGCCTTTACAACAACCGCTTGAGGTAGTCGTGGTGCGCCGTTCAGGCGCTCTTGGAGCCATCTTGGCGCTCCCTGGGGTGTATATTTGGGCATCGCTTGCCCCCCCCGCCCACGCAGCCCCTCCTGATTCCACCGTTCCTCCTCGTCCTCCCCTTCCTCAGCATTGTCGTCATCATAACCGCCCTCACCCTTATCACCATTATCATCGTCATCTCAGTCCCCATCGCCATCATCTTCATAATCGCCTTCATAGCCTCCATCAGCATCAACCTCGCCATTATCATCACCACCGTCACCTTCATACTCGTCATATCCGTCATCATCCCCATTGTCATTATAATCGCCATCGTCACTGTCATCTTCACTATTGCCACCACCATCGCCACCGTCATCACCCCCCACCCCTCCATCCTGCCACCTCTTCCCCCCCTCTCCCCCTGTCCTCTACGCCCCCCCCTCGCCGTCCTTTTCTCGCGTCCTCTGCTTCCTCAACCCTCCTTATCCTACTCCGTCCTCGCCCGCTCTGCGTCTTCATCTGTCTTCCTCCCTTTCTTATCCTCCTCTGCATGCCCCCCCCCCTCCTACCCCTCCTTCCCCCCTCCCATACCTTCCCCTTCCTTCTCCCCATCCTCCCCCCTCATCCTCTTGACGCCAACTTGTATATGCTGCAATTGTGGGTCGAGCGGCTACTTGTAGTTAGGTTTGTTCCCCAGTTTTGAGTTGCAATCGCGTCAGCCCCTCCCCCGCCCGACCAAATGTCCAAGCGCGACGGCAGCCATTCAGCCCCCAAGGGAAAGGCAAAGCGGCAGAAGCAGGTTATCATCTGCGTAGGCTGCGATTGCAACAGCGAGGACGCTTCAACCCAACCCCCTCACGGGCGCCCCTAAACATCTTCAGCCGCATTGGAGGATTGGTAGGGGAGGGTGTACTCGGAAATGAGGATAGGGAGGAGGAGGAGTTATAAGGGTGACTGTGAGCACGGGTAAAAACTGTGGCGGGGTAAAGAGGATATATGGTAGGAGGAGGATAGGCAGAAGAAACAACCTGAGAGGTGGAGGCGGAGGGTGATAAGGGGAGGGTGGAGGGCCACGACAAGGGACGAGTAGGAAGTAGACGCGGCCGAGGGGGGGAGGAGGAGGAGTCACGCGTTTGTTTTGCGTTCCTTTCCCAGGAGCACGAATGGTCACCCACGGACGCCGAAGATCAGGCATCGGCCCAGCTCCTGTGCGGGAAATGCTACAAGAAGGCAGATACGCACTTGTCCAGCTGCATGTCGATGTCGCAGGTTGTCACTATGCTGCAGAATGATGATGACTTCAAGCGTGGCTTCAAAGAGTCCGATGACGAGGCGAAGCTCAACCCAGCCGAGCGAAGCTTTGCACCCGAGGATGTGAGCGACACGCACTTCTTCGAGATGGTGGATTACCGCGAGTTCTTGAAGTTGAATGAAGGCGAGGTCAAATCTCTGTGTAAGGCGACGCCGAAGAAACTGAAGCTCCACGAGATCGAGGGCACGAACGAGGTTGGCGATCAGGAGACGCAGTACCTGATGATCGACGGCATCGGCGGCCCCAGGACCGCTCAGTACCGACGCACGCGCATCAGCGTTGGCAGGATGGTTTCGAGGCGCCTCGGGATGCTCTTCCACGAGGACCACGCGATAAGTAAACATGGTGAGCTACTGCATGATCATGCGGTTCGAGGGATGGTCGACGATGTGAAGATACCTCCGTCTGGGAAGAAGAGAAATCCAGAGCAGGGTATGGATTGGCTCCAGCGGGTGCCCAAGCTGTCCAAGGCGCCAGCTTTCAAGGATGAGGCCCCCGCCGACGACACTGACATGGATGCCGAGGGCGAGGCTGACGGCCCTGCCGCATCGGATCAGCGGCCAGGCCGAGGCGGCTTTCATGGCGGCTCTGCGAGGGCCGCGGCTTCGGGCAGGGGCGAGCTCCGCTCGCGGAATGCTTCGCCAGGGTCTGCCGCGAAGGGCACCAGCTACGACAACTCCCCGATGCCGTCGCCGTCCCCGACGCCAGGTGTGCGACGGCCTGGCTTGTCCATTTCCCAGGGCGGCGTCGGCTCGTCAGTCGCGGGCTCCACCGCGGACCCAGCTGTCCAGGCGATCTCAGACGACGACGGCGAGAAGGGCGAGGGTGCCTTGGCAGACGCCGACGCGGCCTCCAACGGCGACAGTGGCGATGGCGAGAAAGGCAGCGGCGATGACGGGCCAGGTCTGGGCGACGACGGCCGTACCACTGCTACCTCTTTCGACGCGTGCCCCAAGGACACAAAAGGCAAAGCTATGTACTGGAAGGAAATGAACGACCTCACAGCGTGGCTGGAGGACAAGCCTCTGGGGAAGGAGTACAACCAGGCCAAGAGGCTCCTGCGGAAGATCAGCAACAAGAAGGAGTTTGAGCACGAGCACAAGATGCTCAATCGGCACATGCAGCTGGTGGATGATGCGAAGTACGTCAGCGTTGCCAACATCAGCGAGGCGAGCGAAGATAAAATGACAAAGGTCTTTGAAAGGCTGAAGGGCGCCAGGGCCGTCTTCCCGAACAAACTGCAAATGGTTGTGCTCGAGAGGCGTCTCACCAGGAAGCTCAGTGGCGCGATCGAGCGCATGTCAACTGATGATGCGAAGCAAATCTACGACCTTGTCAAGCCGTACGGCCATGCCGAAAAGACTGAGTTCGACCCCTTGGATCCGACGGTGTCCTCGCTTTCCTCTTGCAGCCGCCTTGCTTTCTTCAAAGACTTCTTCGCGAAGGGCATCGTCACCCCTCTTCTCGACAACGATGGTTCCAATCAGCAGCGCCTGAAGGTAATGGTAAACTACGTCAGTATCACCATCAAGCTCGACCTGAGGAGCTCCGCTATTCCAGAGAGGTACAGCAATGACTTCTTCGCGCTGCTTACGGCCCTGAAGGTGATGCATTGCGCGCTCCACCGCGAGGGCATCGAGATCTTGTCGAGCTTCGTCGGCGAGTCCATCGCGGAGCTCGACGAAATGGCAGCTTCCAAGGCTAACTCGGATGACATTGCACAGGTCCTCCATGCATCAATCTACGATTCGGCATTCTATTCCTCGGAGCTGGAGGACTTCAAGCGCTACCAGAAGACAGCATCCAAGTACCTCGAGGACGCCAACGAAACCATCACCAGCTTGGCGGATATTGCATCGCGCCCTGGCGACGTGCTGCTCGCGGGCTTTGGCGAGGTAAAGCCCGTCCTCCTACACGCGTTCCAAGAGTTTCCGAAGTGGAACGTGTCGTTCCGACCTGGCTACATGACGCCCGTCGCGCAGCTGATGACGAATACTACTTTGCAGCTCTTCTGTGATTACGAGCAGTCCAGGTCCCACCCCTCGAAGACGTGCGCGTCGGCCAGTACGGACGACATTAAGCAGCTCGTTGAGCAGGCGGCTGCATGCTTCCCTTTGGACGATGACCTGCAGACCAAGCTTGCCCAACTCCACTCCTGGGGGCAGACGCAGATTTTCGGTCAGAAGCTCAGCGCCTTGGACAACGCGCTGAGCTCTATCAAAGCTTCGGACGACGTCACTTCTGAGCAGTGCGCGGCCTTGAAAGTGGCGTGCGAGAACTTCAGTGGCATGGAGCCTACTCCGCTGGTGCGCGAGGCGGCCGAACTGGTGTACATGAGCATCGCCGCCAGCGTGACGGGCCATCTGCTGCAGGATGACCCCGATGAGGCACAGCAGCGCTTCATCAATGAGGGGATGCTGGCGATGACGTCGTTGCAGCCTGTCGTCATCCGCCATGGGGCCCCCCACAAGAACATTCACGATGCGACCTACAACATCATCAGGTACTACCAGAGCGCTCAGGCCAAAGCAGGCGCGGTGATGAAGCTCGGCTCTGACGACGTGGAGCGCTCGCAGCACGCTGACGCAGAGCAGTGTTGCAAGGACATCTTCGGCGCCATCGACGGGTACGACAAGTTTTGGGACCAGTACAAGGGCTTCAACCCCAACAAGATCCCCGAGCAGTTCAATCTGATGGCGATCAAGGTTGAGGGCTGGAAGAAGACGGCGAAGGTGCTGAGCGGGCTGGTGGTAGATGACTGCAAGTTGAATACGAACAAGACCATCGACGCCGTTCAAGAGTGTGCTGGCGGCGCCCTGGAGGGCAAGAGCTGGACAGATGGGCTCCAGGCGTCGGCGAAGATCGATGCGGTCCTCAAGCACTTCAGCAGCGCGCTGTGCT